TAGGGCTTATACCCGTTGATTTCAGCAAGGAGCGTGAATCTTGGTTTGGACTGTTCCGAGTAAGTGCATGTTTGGGGCCCTGAGCACAAAAGCGATTGCCTTGGTTTCCGCACTCTTAACTCTATCCATCGAGCTGTACGGACTCAGGCCTATTGGTACTAGCAGTGGCATCAGCTGTGTCTCAGCTTTAGTCATCATCATTATTACCATCATTGCTGACGCTGGGAGCGCTTTTTAATATCAGGTGCATTATCTCTCTCTCTCTCTCCCCTATCAGGTGCTTTCTGCCAGGGGTGAATTACTGCCCCCACCTGCAGAGCATCGAAGGCCTTCCGAGTGCGAAGACAGTGGGGGCGAATGCAACGGTGGAGCGGAATCGGACCGCCGTATCCTTTCTCCTCCCCATCCTACGAGCTCCCCAACTACTTCCAGCTCCCCGTCTGTGGATATCCCACGTATTCCTCAACTGCCATACCCTACACCTGCAGAAGGGGACCTGTCGGGGCCCTCTCAGGCGAATGCCAACGCCTTTCAACTCCAATCTGCCGTCATCCTCAACCTCCTGGGCTCTCTACTAAGTAAGTTCTTCTATCCCCCCCCGTCTGCCCACCCCGAGTGTAGCCGGAAATGCATACAAAATAGCGAAGTTTGCGAAAGACTGGTAGTCACTCGCAAACCGACATTACCGTATGGACGAAAACTTTGCAACAGAAATTAATAACTCTAAGCAAATTTTTAACTTAAAAGAACTATAAAAAAAGTACTACTTGTTTGTTTAGAAAAATCAGCTCATCTTCAGGCATATTGGCGAACGCACCAAGAAGCCTGCTACCTTAACCGCAGAAAAGAAAGGCATATTCATAAGACTGCCTTTCTTAGGAGATGCAACAAGCGAACTGGTAAAACGACGCCTTAGCACTGCGATCACAAGCGCTTTCTCCGCGGCGAACTTACGTGTGTTATTCACGAACTCTCCCCTCCTACGATTAGGAGGTAAGAATCGACTCCCGTTGAAGGCCACATCCATGTGCATGTACTCCTTCCCCTGCTCCTGTGGAGCAAGATACATTGGTCGAACAACGAGACGTCTGCAAAAAGAGTACGTGAACACCTACCGTCCTGGTTAAGCAAAGGTCAAACTAAATCAATCTCGAGCTCCATTCTCATACACCTTGTCGATACGAATCATCGAATCGCTACCAATAAAGCCTCTCAGGTTGCCTACCAGACACCAGCTAACTTTTCCGAAGGCCTATGCTAACGAATGCTCGCAACAGCTGAAGCAGTAGCCATACGGCTAGCAAATCCAGTGCTGCGTTGTCAGAAGACGCTGACACAAGCCCTTACACTTCCGTGGCCTACCCCGACA